TATAATTTAAATATCAATTTCAATTTAAATACAGTTATTGTGATAATTATTCCCCATATTAAGAGGTGCACCCCTACAGCAAGGCCGATTGAATATAGCTTTGGATAAGGTCATCTCCTAGTACATCACGCTGTGGACGGACTCCTCCTTTACCAGGGCAGTGGTACTCTCGATTTTTTTTATTGCGCATCCGATTGTCGAATAACGAATTCACCCCCATGTTAATTATAATTATTAATGAATTGTAAAACTGTATAAAAACTGTAAACCGGCACAGACAAAACATATTAGTGTAACCTTCGTCTTGAATCAGTCTGTATATAGATTGTATGCATTTAAATACGTTGTGTTGCTTAAAAGATTTTTACTTTGTATTATAGATATATCGATGCTCAATATTTTGCTAAATATTTCATACATCCCTCGCAAAAACCACATCACATTCCTAAGAATCTTAATTCAAAGAGAAAAACAGGAATTCATAAAATCCCCTTGACAGTAAAAAATTACAAAGCCTCAGAAATCCGGTGACATTGGAATTCGTCTTGCATGATCTTTTTAAATTAGAATATTTTTATTCAGGCAAATTATTTTTATAATAGGTTTTAGAATAAATAGTTTTCGCTGAGACATGTTTTCAATTTTGTTTCTTCATCCATTTTTTTATTGATTACATTAAAATTAAACTACTTATTTAAGAAAATAGGAACTTTTTAGACAATTCAACAGTACAAATATGCTGTGCGAAAGGAAAGCCTTAGCCATCCATAAATAACGAAGAATAACGGTCTTAGCGCAAAAACCGCATGGAATACAAAGAGTTAGGTATATGTTATTCTTTCAATATATTTTTTTCCTATGTAAGGTGTAATATTATTGTATGCCAGGATTTGGTGGAGTGAATGAGTTAAGTATAGTCAAAATTTTTACTATCAGAGCAACACTGAATTCATAAAAAAAATCGCTAACAGTATGAAACAGCTGATTATTTTTTCGTGAATTTAGTGTTGCTGCCATAGTAAAAGTAGTTTAGAAATATTTAACTTATGTATCCCACGGATTCCTGGCACATAATAATATTACAGCCCGTTTTAGAAAGGATTTGCTTTTTACATTGAAATAATTGATTTACCATACTTTTATTATTTGTTATTTGTGCACTTGATTTAATATCGCGAAGATTTAATATCTTGAATGTAATGGAAAATGTTAACTGATGTAAATTAACTTCAATATCTTTAAGAATGAGCTTTAACGTAATGACAATTTTCAATAAGGAAGTATTAAAAAAAAAACATTACTTCCCCAAATCAAACTAGATGTCACTACGGTACGTTCTTGATTTATCCATGGCAACCCTTCCGGTTTACTTTCATATTTAAAAGTAAATTAGTTTTCATAACTCTATATACAACTCATATTCTATTTGTACTTTTTCGTATTTGTATTGATATCTAAGTTTCGAACTTTTCAATTTCAGTTTTTTAAAATGTTAGGTAAAAGGAACATAATTTACTGTCTGTTTACGTGTTGTGTCCATTCGTTTCCAGCAAAAATCAACTTTTGCTAGAGGCACCATCCAGTGGAGGTTCTTTTTTAATGCTTTCGTTTTTTTTAATACTTTCTCATTGCGCGGTTGCAATCATAGTACTAATAAACGTCAGGTATTTCTAGTTATTCTATGATAAGTTACCAATCGACATTATATTTCAGCATGGAGATATAACAATATGACGCTTGGCTGCTTAGCTCTGATAGGTTGTTGTCTATGTTTAAGGCAGGAAAAAAAAGGACAACTACCCAAAGTTTTATCTGGATTTTTTTATAAACGGAATCACATTAAACCACATTGCCCCATGTCTCTTTACTTTCGTGCTATTAATACTATTATTTATTTTTGATTAATATATTTTGGCATGTCTGTTTATTATTATATCTATATAAATCTATATTATACATTATATACTTAATTTCTACTTATAACTAATGTTATTATGTGGACGTATGCAATATAATCAATAATTATCGATACATATAGAAGTATCGTTTCCGCACGCACTGCAGCATTGCGAAGCACTGCATATCGTTTGTATGAGGTGGGGTCAGTGACCTATAGAGTTCCGTACAATAAAACTTTACATTCCGCGAATTTACCCGCGTCAATATAGCTAACTAGATTTCCATCAGCGGCTTCACCCGTGTGGTCCTTAGCGAACCGTTTAGCGGAATAAAAATTAGGCTATATCTTAATTGTGACTTAAAATTATCTGTAAACCAATACCGTCCAAATCCGTTCAGTGATTTTTGCCTGAAGTAGTAACATACATCCAAATTTACAAACGTTCGCCTTCATAATATTAGTAAGATTATAGGTACCCGGTGGAACAGTTCGAGCGACACTCCCGAGGTTCCTGGAGAGTACTATTTGTCTATAATTTGAATATCGATTGACACGGATATATTTACAATGACAGACTGAATAAAAAAAATTTACTCTGGTAACGTTTTAATTCCCTATACAAACTTCCACTGCCGTTTTCATTCCTTTATTTGCTGTTTTTGGGATAAAATAAAGACTATGTTCAGCGCATATGATGTAGCTTCTCGTAGGTGAAAGAATTTTTAAAATCGGTGAAGTAGTTTCGGAACTTAATCGTTGCAAACAAACAAATAATAAAATCTTTCCTCTATATAATATTAGTATAGATTCTAGCAGTGCTATTAGTAAACAAAGTTTAGCGTCAGAATAAATTTACAATTAATATATCTATACAGATAATAAGAAAACCTACTACCTTCTAGGAGTAAATATTACTGCCGTAGAACCTCGTACTAGGTTAACCTTTACCAAGTATCTGTTACAGTCTGTAAAGCTAAACCTGGTTTATCAATAAAACTGTAAAAGTATAGATGCCACTTGAGTATGATGTAGCTTTAATTAGGTGAAATAGTTTTTCAAATTGCTCGAGTGAGACTATGCGATGCAAATAATTATATCTGTCCTGTTTATTATTAGTCTAGAAGAATATACTTTATTTGCCTACAGATTCTACTACCGCCACGGAAGGGCCTCCGGTGACTGAAAAGATTGCCTCTAAAACACAGGCTGCTTCCTCGCGCATCTCCGCCGGTGAGAGCGGTAAAGAAAGTAGTTGTAGCTTAAGATAATATATTACATTAGTGCCTAAGATGTCAACTATTTTTGAAATATAGAATAGTAACTACAATGCAATCTTAAATACCTAATCATTTGTAGTATGACGCCTCTAGTATCCAGAGGGACCGGACTCTAGTATCCAGGGTAACTAGAGCAGAAACTAATATAGCAACGCCCTCCCTCCTACCTTTTCAACACACCTTTTACGTCCCCACTGCAGGGGCATAGGCTTTCCTTATGGATGGTTAAAGAGGATGGGCCTTACTACTAACGACAGTAAATACCGCCTCAATGTGGTTTAATGTGCTTTTCGAAGCGAAAGCTGTTGCTCGAGATAATGTTTTGGTCACCCATCCCGTGACCGACCCTTACGAAAGTTGCTTAACAACAGCGATCACGGGCCATGGCGCTTATACACTACGCCACCGAGCTATTCTTCATGATCAGCTCTTTATTTCGTCCCCACTGCAGGGGCTCAGGCCTTCTTTATGGATGGTTAAGGAGCATGGACCATGACCCTCCACGCTGACCCGATGCGGATTGGCGGGTATTAACGAATGCAGCCGGGACCGACGGCTTAACGTGCCTTCCGAAGCACGGAGTGGCTAATAATTTAATATAAATGTAGGAATAATTTTTTGGTCACCCATCTCGTGACCGACCTTTGCGAAAGTTGCTTAACGACAACGTTTGCGTGCCGTGGCGCTTATCCACTACGCCACCGAGCGATTTTGAGAACAAAGTGCAAGTGCCCATGCTTGCCTTCCCTTGATAAACAGTTATTTAGTTTTAAATTATGCAGAGATACGAGAGGTTTCAATTCGTTAAGATATCAGGCTGTCTAAAACAGAGAGCACCTTAAGCACCACTACTTTTGAAAAATTGCCAAGCATTTCTCTTTTGTATTGTATTTTTACTCAAAACTCTTTGAACTAAGATTCTTAATTTTCTTTCACCGCTGAAAGGCTTAGTTATACATAAAAGCTTATCTGTTTCGCTGCTTTAGAGTAAATTAAATTAACTGCCATACCGCTGCTAATTAGTTTATGCAAATTGTGAAGCATTAATATATTAACTTAGTTAATAGCTACTACTCCTAGGTAATAGGCAATGAATTTAATGTGAAGTTATACAGAGACACTTCATTTTATTTCGATGAATGCAGAGTACGAGTGACACAGAGCTGTGATAGCCATCAAAACTAATGGAACCAAAATTTCTTAGCAGTGAAATTAAAAACCAAAACACAAAGACTAATTTTATGGTATAGCAATTGTGAAAATGGTTAATGGAAACATTTAACGTTTAAAACAATGATTTGAATAATTGAGAAACATTTAAACTTACCTTAATCTGTCGAAGATTGCAGTTAAAGTACAACTCTGTCATTTGCCATTTCTCAAAAGCTTTTAAAGGTATTTGCATCTGACACATAACAATAACGATATTGTTCAATTTTATATCTAAAAAAAAAGTCAGGACCTCAGTGGCTATCACGTTGATGAACATAGGGCAGGCCCCGCAGTTTTGACCAATTTAAGAGTTACTAGAGAGTTAACTTTAAATCATTATAGTTGTTAATGCCGTTAGTTTTGCTATAGTGCAGCATTTTCAAAACCGTACACGTTAAAGTTATATATTTGTCCAAATGGCCAAAAAGGAGGAGACAGCAGCCAAAACCAGGTCTTCTGCCCTATTTCAAATAGGGGTTTGAGATAGACTTTAAAATTAGACAATGTATTCAAAACTAAAATGTTTCAAAGTGGACGAGACGATAAATTTTGGAGAACTCTATCATAGGCTAATAAATTAAAATAATACGGTTACATAATATGACTTTAAAATGTACCAAAAAAAACTAGGTACATCCTAGCTATCATGATATAATCTATTATTGTTTACTCTTTGGTATCATGTTTACGTATGGAAGTGATATTTCATCTACAAAGTATATTGTAAAAGAAAACAGGTCTAAGTGGAAGATTTTTATAATCATATTTTTATATGTTATAAAAGCTTAGCAACATACCTTAAATCATTTTACTAAAGCTAAAGTAAATATATTGTGGTGACATTGTTACGTTGATCTTGAGGAAAATAACGTCAGAAAATATAAATATCTTTTTAATATACTCTTTGATAAAATCAGCGTTGCAATAAGATGAATCATATCAAAAGGAATAATGTAATATAACTGAAATTGAAATATTTTGCCGCTGCTGTTTCCAGTCCTTTGAAATAAAAAAAATCTATTCTACATTTCTTTTGAGTTATATTTCAATCACAAGAAAATGTGAGCTTTTCTGTGACTTAAACTGAGGTTTTCAAGACAAACGAGCTTATTTTGTTCTCTGCTTTCTTAAAGGCTACTTTGTAATCGTTAAAATATTACAATAATTACAAAAGCATAGAAGCCATGATAAAATCCACTTTGTCCCTGGCACTCTAGAATGGGATTCAAACCAATGATCTTTCGCAATCTCGGCGACTGTTTTAACTACTGAGCTATCCAAGACCTAACAGGACTGACGAATTTTTCAACCGCTTGTTACTTATACTCCACCACAGAGCGTACTTTCATCAATGTTCAGGCAATCCTCCAAAACAGCCGAAAGGAATGATTTTACAAATATTTAAACTTTCGATAAAGATGATAATTTGTTCTAATTATCATTTTTGCATTCTAAATGCTATGCTGAAAAAAAAAATCCTTTTGAAAAAGCTTAAAATTCAATTTGTCCCTAGAAGACTGTTTTCTATTTCAAATTTTCTGCATAAAGTAGCGACTATTAATATATTTAAAGCCTTGGTTTCACTTAAAACCTGTTAGCAGCACACCAAAGAAAATTCTCCCTGCAGTACAAAGAATTAAAACGCAAATTTGTGAGTTTAATACTGGTGCAACGCATAAGCCTCGTTTCAATGGATTTGTGGCGATCTGTACAAAAATTCAGCAGGCTAATGTTTAAGTAATAATTGTATCTCAATAGAATATCAACAAATTGCAATTTGCCATTGTACTGTCCACATAAAGTCCAATATTATTAGTGCAATATCTTCCTTACACATCAATGGTAATCAGGAAGTATTTAAAAAATAAAAAGAAAGCACCAAAAATCACCTCCACTAGATGGCGACTCTAGCAAAGGTTGATTTTTGCAGGAAACGAATGGATCAAAGATAGTCATTTCCGTTTCTTTTAACTAACATATAAAAAAACTGAAATTTGCAAAGTACGAAACTTAGATATCAATACGAATACGAAAAAGTACAAATAAAATATGAGTTGTTTATTAAGTTTTGAAAACTAATTTACTTTTATACACGAAATAAAACCGAAAGGATTGTCATGGAGAAATAAAGAAAGTACTGTAGCGACATCTAGTTTGATTTCGGGAACTAATGTTTTTTATTTATGTACTTCCTCATTATGGCAATTAATAAATACATATTTAATAATGTTGTACTTCAGGTATCTAATACAATGGCAATGAAGCTGAGTTTCTATTGAGTGACAGTGATATGATTCTAATGAGCGATTATGTAAACATTAGAAGAATTGACCTGCAACTTGTTAGAGGTTAACGGGAACTGGAACACATAATATGTTTTGTGGAACTAAGTTTCTATGATATTGACATTACCAATACAACTCGATAAAAATGTTTAGTTCTAAGTCCCGTCTCTGAAATCGATAGTATCTTACTTAATCTATGAGCAATACTTTAGTAATGTCACTTATATAATGACTTTGCGTGTACGTCTAGTTATTATTAAGTCTCCTTCATAGTGATTAGTCTGAGAAGTGTGTTTATTATTCAGAATGGAGCGGGGCCACTGGCGGCCCTCCAGCGGAAGTGGTACTGCGGTTGCATCCCTCCCCGGTTTCAACACCTCGAGCTAATGTCTCGTTGACTGACTTCGGTAAGTTATAAATACTACAACCACTAAATAAATAAAACTTATCAAATATAAATTGGCTATTCATCATCAGCCCTTTTACGTCCCCACTGCTGGACTTTCCTTATGGATGGTTAAGGAGGATGGGCCACGATCCTCCACGCTGGCCCAATGCGGATTGGAGGGTATTAACGACTGCAAATGCAGCCGGAACCAACGGCTTAACGTGCCTTCCGAAGCACGTAGTAGTTCGAGATAATAATTTTTTGGTCACCCATCCCATGACCGACCCTTGCGAAAGTTGCTTAACGACACCGATCGCGGGCCGTGGCGCTTATCCACTATGCCACCGTGCTGTTGAATTGGCTATAATACCATCATATGTACTAAATAGTTTTTCCAATTTAGACAAGATTGCAAAACTTATTTAGACAAGGGACTGTCAAAAATTGTTTTGCACAAAATTAAGAAATTGCCTCATTAATAATGCCATATGATTTTCTTTAAACAATGCTCATGATCCTGCATTCAAACCATTTATATGGTTTTGCTGGACTAATTTCAACCATAATTGTATCTTATACTTTAGTAATGTATACTAATTATAAAGCTGAAGAGTTTGTTTGTTTGAACGCGCTAATCTCAGGAACTACTGGTTCGAATTGAAAAATTATTTTTGTGTTGAATAGACCATTTATCGATGAAGGCTTTAGGCTATATAACATCACGCTGCAACTATTAGGAGAGAAGAAATAATGGAAAACGCGGACGAAGTCGCTGGCGGCCACTAATTTCTCTTATCCCAAAATCAGAAGCTAAAGTCCCCGTATTATGGAGTATCTGAGATAACGATCGTACCACAACACCTAGGCCCAGGACAATATAGAAAATTCAATTCACTACATTGACCGAGATGGCTATAAAGTTCTAGTAAATGTGTGTCTATGTGTTCTTAATATTGAACACGTTTGAATAAAAAGAATAACGTTAGAATTTCGTGAACTACTCAAAGAATAATAATCTACAGCTCGCGAGTGTAGCCTGGTAGGTAAATAACGTTCTGAATATCTGAAGAAAGAAGCAAAGAAATATAATAAATTCTTTTATGATCAAAATGCACAAGAAAATTGCTCAGAGTACTTAAATACTTCAAATAAAGACACTGTAACAAAATAGATTGTAAGCGAATATTTGTGTAGGTAGGTACTTAGTATTCAGAAATGTTTTGAGGTATAATAATAAAAAAATTAAGATAATATAAAAAAATATATCCTTTGTAGAGTTATCGAAAATTAAGTTCCAAATCATGACAACAATAAGTTTTGGGCAAACGAGAATACGGCTTCTCAGATAACTTATTACGTCATATTTCATTAAGTCATAAAAAGGTATTACAGTCACAATCGAGAATTATCTAAACGCGGTGGTAGTTTTTTCTTCCATTAACTTGAAGAGATGGATGTAAGAAATATCTAAGAAACAGTATGTATGTATACATTAATACATATTACAACACATACAAACAATAACTCTCCGTTTTCGTAGTACGATAATAAGCAAACGAATCAATATTATCGATAACTTGCGACTCAAAGGGCGTAACCAATATTTTCTCCAAAATGATTTTTGAATTCTACCTACTATCTGATTCAGTTTTGCAGCGCAATCGAACGGTATTTTTAAGTTCTTGAAGTCTGAAAACAATAGTGATAATGACGATGATGCAGATTTTATCGTAATTTTGGACGTAAAGACAATCTTTTAGACATCATCAAAGTATTTGATGTAAACGACACTCAAATGAAATGTACTAGTTCTCAAGACACAGTAGTCATTTTATGTGCCGTAAAAGACATACAAGTTTGACATCGAGAGACGTATTCACCAGCAAATTTTTAAATTATACATTTTCTATCACAACAAAAAAAATATTTTAGTTTTTTTTGACTCTCCTGAAATGTTGTGTTTTGGGATAGATATGATGTTACGTTCCTTTGAGTCTCAAAGTTCCAATAAATTTTTTGCACTTATCAAATCTATTAATTACATAAAAAACTCCAAATTGCCCTATTGAAACAACTTTTTGTTACGTATTATTTGATCTTGATCTTGTTAAAAGTCAGTCATGAACTTTAATTAAATATTTTCCTTTTCTCTTTTGGATTACGATAGAGTATTCATCAGTATAAATTGAAGCAAATACATCATTGATTGATTTATACTCTTAGTACACTATTTTTATATTCATTTATTTATTTAAGAACACCAACAACATACATATTATAAGTAAATTGTTCAATTTACTTCGTGTAAATTATATTATGAATAAATTAATGCAACAGCGTTACAAATCCAACACTTTTTTTTAATAAAATTGTTAAATTATGAACCATTATATAAGGTGAATCATCTTCTCTACAATATGTCAATAAATACTTTTAACTTTGTGCCTTTTCTCTATTCGAAAAAGGTTCAGTTCTGGATCAAAGAACTGGCCTACTGAATTTTCTTTGCATTTCTTTGCACCCTGTGAAGTTTTCACAGGGTCTATTTTATCCGGAAAATGTCAAGAACAAGAGATCTATATAATTGGATCAAGGTTAAAACCAAGTGATGTGAACGAGACAAGGCGCTCGCTTGTAACAGTGTTAGAGCTTACTATTGTTACGTTGTTTTTTCGCGTCACTAGATGGTGTTAGTGTGAAAAATAATGTTTGTTTCTTTATTATAGAAAAAGTGCTTTTTATAGTATGCTTATCTATTGAGCTTGGGATTTATTTGCTTTGAGAAATCTTTTGGTAATACCTTTTAACCGTTATTACACAATTTTGCAGATGCTCAATATGTATTCCCAAGGCCATTATCGTTTATCTTCGCTTTAAATTCAATTAAGGCGAAACATTAAGACTTAAATAATGTTGATATTTTCTTAAATATTATTGGGTATTTACTTGTTTAATGGAAAAAACTTAAACAGTCTTTATAAAATGAGTACTATGTTTAGTACTTTAATTAAACCGTTATCCGACCAAATAAGTCAACACGCCCTAATTTCACGTTGTCTCTTTCTAACATTGTCAATTTGCTTTAGGCAGCCAATGGTTTAAATCAAGTATTAACAGACCACGTTTTATAAGACGGAAAGAATATTTAAAACATTGAATAAGTGATAAGATTCTGTAATAGATTTAAAAAAAGTTACAAGAAATTTATTTATTATTTCTCCATAGATGGCAGTGGTGTAGTGGTCCGAGCGGAGGAAGTGTTGATAGTGGCATTCGTCCTCCTGCTATGGGTGGCCGCCATAGCGTTATTCTTCAACCGCTGGGGCAAGATAAGGTGCGTCTATAAGCTGTACGTAGATCTCCTTGATTACCTATATTTTCAAATGCACCAGTCTAATCGATCAATACCCCAACACTAGAAAAAGAACTACAATTATAATAGGTATAAAAACTTTTTTGTTTAAACTCTTTGGTAGAGGTTTTTTAATATTAAGAAACTTCTTAGTTAAAATTGTTATAACCTACATCCATAATATTGAAAAATATGTTTGAAATGCAACAAAACTTAACGGTCCTTTGGAAAGTCAACTTTTGTTTGGCTAACGGCCCGTGGGCAAAAAAAATCTTTTGCCTCATATTTATTTAGTTATTATTTTTATGTTAAACTATGTTTTCTTGTTTTTCATGTCTGATTATGCTGATCGACGTGTTCAGAAGACGTTACTAATTTTCAATTGTGAAAATAATATTCTAACATTACCTAAGATAAGGGTATGCTAAAGCATTATTCATATGAATCAAATCACTTCCACAATACATATCCTATTATTTACAGAATAGCAATTCAATTATCAGCATGATTAATAGAGCTACAGAACAAATAATATAAAACGACTACAAAATTATATTGAAGATTATTTTTCAATTTTTTTTTATAGAAATATAAAACTATACCTATATGTACTGTAATACTGTTTTTATTGTCTTACTTTAAAATCGATCGCAATTTCTATCAACATGATATTTGAAAGATATACACGACCTTTGACATGAGATAGCAATAGGGATGACGCAATTTCTATCAACATGATATTTGAAAGATATACACGACCTTTGACATGAGATAGCAATACTGATGATGACTAATTTTTATTTGTTTGTCCGTCAGGTAGAGTGTTAAAAAATATTAAACACGTATTTTTTTATTTTTTTCGTAATCATAAAATTACGGCGTTACATGGAGTTGAAATTTCACATGACGTCACGTTATGGTACGTTTTCTACTCAACTGTGACGTAGCGAGCCCCCACTCCTCAATTTAATGCCTGTTATCTAAGCTATTTCTTGTTAAATTGAAGTAAAAAAAAATACATATCTAATATTTTTCTAATATCTGACTGACGGACTAAATAGAATTGCATTTTTTTACCCAGTTGTCATCCCTATTGTGATTGTGAAGTTTATTTGAAAGATATTGAATTAATATGATAAGCATTAGAAGTAAATATTACTTTAAATTTAAGTTATCAGGTTTTTTTGATCATTGTAATCATCGTTTGTTCAAAAAGCAATTGCGACTTAATTTAACATAATTACGAAAATTTTTAAAATAAGACAATCAGTTAAAGTTAGTCCTTGTTTTATTAATTTTACTTATTTCTAAAATTCAAGTAATAAGTCTAAGTTAAACGTCAGGGAAGACCAACTGACTGACCCAATTTAAATTTAAAGCTATTGCTAAAGCTTTAAATTTAAATTGGGCGTAAAGTCAAAAGATAGTGGCAATTTTTTTATCTTATTGGGCCCGACAATGAGATAGAAAGGGACAGAAGATGACCGATACCGCGTCAAAAATGCGACGCACAATTCCCTCGATAGCAAAGTGACTCATATATTTATCAATTTTCCATAGAAAATGTGAATATTAACGAGGGTCAGTTTGTGAATTTTTCTATAGAGAAATATTTATAAATTCACGTTTTGGCTGTGACATGCAAAAATAATTGAAATATGAATTGATGTAGTATTCTTACCTTGAATTATAGTTATCATATTTTAATGTTATTTCTTTCTAACCCAGCAATATGCTGAATGAAATATGGTTTAAAAAGCAAGAGAACAAGGGTATAATAATAATAGTAGTAATAATAGTAATTTTGACAGATTTGTATAATACACGTTTTTTATATTTTCCCATGCACTAGTAATCATAATAATTCAGAAATACAACCGTTTAAAAGTAGTTTTATTTTATGAGATTTGTATAAATTAACGTGCTGTTGACTGTAAAAAAGTCTGTATTTAAAAGTTAGCGGTTTTGTCTGTCCGGAGTTGCGTAAACGTATTACCTATGTAATGTCACTTTAAACTTGAAATGTAATTTGTATGGACAAATTTGACATTCATTAGAGTTTAAAGGCGTCATTAAACCCCAATGGGCGTTTGTGCGACTGACCATAAAGGTACTTAACGATATTTTGTCATTTGAAAGTCACATTGGACGTGATGTAACTAAGCGATGGTAACAAATTACTTATTAGGACGGGTACTAGAGGTTAAAATGTCGTGAACTTCTCTTACGTCATCCGATAAACTTCGATTATAGAACATCAAAAAATCTATTGATTTATTAAAACATTTAAGTATAAATTGAACTAAAACAACGCACAATGGTTTGAAGAACTTTATTCGCATTACTTTTTATTCTATGCTATCTTCTCCCTATTAGATTTCATTCGATTCCATACATAAGAAGGCCTAAGCCCGAGCAATGAGGACATGAGTCATGGGTTCGAGTCCCATCTTAGAGTGCCAGGGACAAAGTCGATTTTTAAACATTTTTAATTAAAAATAATTCTCAGTTTAGTATCGCGAATGCCAAATTGATTAAATAAAATAATAAGAATAATTTGAATTAATTTTCATCTTTAATGAAAGTCTAAATATTTGTAAAAATATTCCTTTCGGCTGTTTGGGTGGATTGCCTGATCAGTGATAAGAATACGCTCTATAATAGCAAAAAAGTAATAAATGCTTGAAAAATTCGTCGGTCCTATTAGGTTCTGGGTAGCTCAGTTGATTAGAGCAGATTGCAATAGGTCATGGGTTAGAGTCCCATCTCGGAGTGCCAGAGATAAAGTGGATTTTGCATAGAGTGTAATAAAACATTCTATTGTGCTAGGTATGCTCTACAGTACAACGTTGGAGATGTTGCATAAGTTTATTTTTTTTAAACATTTAAGCTATTACAATTCTTAACGTAATTTGGTAATTGGTAAAACAGATTTACTCCCTCATATATTATAGTAGTTTTTCCGTAATTAATTCTAGACGTGATAAATAAAATTGTCTGTCTATTTTGAAGATTATGTGTATTTTGCTTTATATTTAGTTGTATGTCAGATTTGAATGAGTTAGTCGTTATTTTATTTATGGGAATATATATGTAGTATTTATATAGTTGAAAAAGTTTGAGTGTTTTACTTGTCTTGTATAGCTGTAAGAAAGCAATCAGTACTTTTAAAAATTATATATTTTTGTTACTTACATGATATTAATATTAAATTGAAAACCTCGATATTTTGTTTGTATTTAATGTTATATATTATAAACACAATTAAAAGCTTAAGATTAGTACTGTTAGAAAAAGAACACAAAAAAAGAAAAAAATAAAATCTGATAGATTAAGTTTCATCTGCCATCATTGCAACGTCTTTATACAGTCTATAGATATACTGCCATCAAAAATTTATTTCTTACGCAATTTGTGCAAATTTTACATAAGATTAGCGTGCATTTTTTATTGCATAGCTCTTATCTAGTAGTATACATAGAAGTCTTTGAAAAATTATAATAATATTTGTGGGTAAAGTTCAATAGCTCACATGAAATTTATCTTTATTCTACATTGAATGTCTGTCTTTTATGAGCTACTGTGTAGATGATGTTCTGCTTTCTACCTATAATTTAATATTTAGCACTTTTAAAAGCTGCTTTTATATTTATATTAGTTACTACTGCGTTCACGCGTATATATTACGTTCAGTACGCTGGAGGCGAACTCGAGAACGTTTTGGCTACACCCAAATGTCACTTTTCTCGGGTGCCCCCGTACGATATCTCCTTCTCGATCCGAGAAAAGTGACATTTAGGTGTAGCTGCAGACAAAGTGTTCTCGAGTTCGTCTTGTTACACCTGCTGGACGAAGTCCAGAAGGGGAGGATTCGCTACGAAATTATAATATGATTATTAAAAGTGTTATCTGTTTTATGTGTTTAAATAAGCAGCAATTGGTATACATTTTACACCTACAATAAAAGCGGTATAATATGTTAATTATCATGAAACGTAATAACTTCTAAAGCAGTCACATGGGAGTTAGTTTAATTACCATTACAATAAACTATAGTTAAGTCAACGTCTGACGTCACTATTGTCCATCCCTGTGGGATATACCAGCATTTTCTTAATTAACTATTAACGTTACCAAAATATTAACTTCTTACTCACGTTTCAAAGTATTGAACTTCAGTAATATTGAAAAGCGAATTAGTAATACACATACCATTACAGTAATACAAGTTCATAATATAGTATATTGAATGCAAAGTTTTCTAAGTCGCACTCATGCTGGTTAAAATTGTTGGTAATATTTTACAAAAACAAATTATGGTGGACTTAATTTGAAAATTTACGATAGAGAATTTGAAGCTGCAACTGGTAAAATATATATATTTTTTAATTTACATTTAACAAGTTTTACCAGCATGGGTCCAAATAGCAGTTTTTTTTTATTATGTCACATTAACTTACACGAACATCTTTATGATATCATATAGATTTTTTGTTAATATTAATTAAAATGTGAAGAAAAAGATACAGGATAATAATAAAATCTACACGTTCCCTCTTCTAACAGAGCGTTGATTCAAATATTTGATAATATTATCCTTTTTAGGGTTTCATACCAGAAGGGTAAAAAGGATCTTCCTGCCCGTCTGTTACCAAACTATCTCTTGACCTATGATAGCGAGGCAGTGAATTGACATAGATGATATATTTCCGTTGTTGTTTTTTGCTGTTGCAGTTATTGTTATAGAATAATAAAAATAGATTAAAATTAATATTTAAACGGAACCCCTCGTCCACGAAACCAAATCGAATTCGGCTGGTTTTCATATGAGATAGCTAATATTGTACGTGGTTTCTTAGGATGCTCGAGCCGTACCAGCCAAAGTTTCAGCAACAGCACCGGCAGAGCTGCGCTTTAGCGGAGAGTGCGGTATCAGTGCCGCCCCACGTGAGTACCTAAGCCATGCCCAATATGCTTTTGTTATACCTAACCTAGCATTGATATAAAATTAATTACTGATCCTGTGAAGTGTGTAAGACTATTTTGAAACACCAATGTTCTGCACCAAGATGTTTTTATGTAAAAAGTTGGTAAAAAGTTGACTGTAATGCTCTAGCCAACCCAACTCCGCCTAGAATCGCAAAAACTTTTCAAGATCATCGCAGGTTTCATAGAATGTTGATGGGCTTGTTCCGGTGTTCTGCCAGACTCTCACATTCCAGAACTCCGCGTAGAATAACTCGAGAACGTTTTATCTACACCTGATGTCACTTTTCTCGGGTGTGCTTACACTATATCTCACTCTCAAATTGACGTTTGTGTGTAGGTAAAGCTTTCTCGAGTTCGTTATGCTAGCGTGCTAGAATGCGAAAGTCTGGACAAAGCGTTTCACGAGTTTATCATGCTACTCGTGCAGGACTGTGTGAATGATGGTTTCGTCTATTGATATATACGCTCTGCAGAGACGGCTGTCGAATATTTATAATATGGAGGTGTAATAGTGTGGTCTAAAAGCGTACTTTAATTACAGCACCGAGCGTCTTTGTCGAGGGGCTGCGTGTCGTACGACTGTGGCGTCGCGTTCCCCGCGTACCAACCCTGCGGCTATCTATCACATAGACCGAGACAGGTACCAAATAAACATTATTTTAATTCGACAAATGAGTATTGAAACACTATAAAATTGCCATGTAGAAAGTAATAATAAAACGACACAAATTCAAGTGTTTTCTTTTAATATATTTCTACCAGATTTTCTTTATACGTTTAATCATGGTTTCTTTTTGGAATTTATCAAGCTAGACTTACACCTTGAGTCATTAATTTCCAAAAGTATGAGTATATAACTCACGCTAGACTGTGTGAGGCCGAACCGAGCGTTGGCCTTAGCACGCTACAAGCTGCGGTCAACGAATATTACACATTATGTTATATCACTCACGTTAAGAGCTTTATCTCGCAGCTGTTAACGCGTTTAGATTACGATACAGTTGTTAAGCAACTTTCGCAAGGGCCGTTCATAGGATGGGGGACCAAATTTTTTTTTATGTCTAGCCGTTGTTCCGGGTCACGACCATCTCTCTCCATGCCCTGAGTTACAGCTGAGTGGAGATCAGATTTTCCTGGTGATGTGATGTGATGACTCACGCTATACCCAGCAGCAACCGAGTGACGAACGGAAAACGTATGAAACTGTGTTACGGCTGCCTGAGTTACGAGTTCAGCACCATCGTGCATTCATCTCTATCTCGTCTATACAAACTCAGTCGCATATAAAATCACATTGCGATAGAGAACGTGAACGGCTTGATTTAAAAATGTAGTCTTATACATTATGTTTTGTTTCAGAACTCAGTATTCGTGGGAAGCATGGGCGGCATGGCTCTCATTCCAGAGAGTCCACCTCGTCGCTCCCGTTCCGCAGCCGATCTCCCCGCTCTTGTACCACCTACAGATCATTCCCATTCCGTCACCCCTAGGTCTTCAAGAGCCGCTTCCTTACATAGCGCAGTCGACCTCAGAGTATGTGTGCCCTCACCAAGAACATCAAGGGCAGCAAGTCTACATTCAGCTGTGGACATGCCCCCAGGATCAGTACAAGTACACGTAAGGGGATCAGGAAACAATTTGAACAAACCGAGGAGTCCTAGAAGACTTACTATAACTAACGTTTAAGGTTTTTTTTTCTATATTTTGGGCTCAACAGCGGTGTTGCTCGACGGACCAATATATCTAATCTCAATTAAATTTAGCTATTCAGTTGAAAATTTTCGGTGTTACTAAGTTAAGTATAAAATTTAATTAAATATTATAAATTGTAGTGATTATTTGGTTTTAGAAGAATGTTGAGTGTTGTATAGAGAAAATTAACTATTAAAAAAAACAACAAGTACAATGAACTAAAGAATGTATGAACTTGTATAAACATCAAATTAGCTGTAAGCCTTTATCTTAAATATTTCCTGTAGTTTTATCTAGATTCCTTCTTCTCTCTTCGCCATATCTATGTATAGTAAATACGGGTCCCTTCTATTAGCATAATGTTCTTTTTTCTAATATACTTTGCCATAATTGTGTTTGGCATACAGTATAAGTTGGCATATTGACATTTAGGGCATTTTTCGCATAATTCTAATTCACATAATGTGCCTAGACATAAAAGAATCGAGCAGTGGGTTAGGTTAGGTTAGATTAGAGCCGTAATCAAAACCAAAAACGAGCCAAGCAATCGTAGTAATTCTTAAGGATGTTACTGTTAAATATTATTATGCTTCGAGAAATTATGCTTAAAAATATACATGAGCCGTTAAGCATAAAAAGCGTTTCCCATAAATTTAATTAGGACAAACAAGAGTATGCCATATTATAATATCTCTTCAGATTTTATGCTAATTGATAGGAACCTGGTACATAGTATCATATAGAATGCTATAGAGCGTACAACGTAACTTTAGTCGTGTGGTGCTAATCTAAGGAAAAATGTACTTACTAAATTTAATACCAATATCAATTTTCCATATTTCCAGTCATAAGCTCATAGCTTCATCCCTGTTGTCTGGCTCTCGATATTTCTTAATTTAATTTACTGTCAGGGAATGAGAATTTTCTCTCTAAGAGAATTTCATAAAAAAGTGAGAGTTTAATTTTAAACCTTATTCATACGTAGATAGGAATTGTAATTTCTCCGGAGAGTTAATTTAGCCCTGTCAAATTCGTCCTCTATATAATATCGTCCTAAATCTCTTTAATTAGATAAGGATTTACATCCGGTCTACTATGATTCGCTTTTTACGTTCCATTAATGATTTATTCTATAAAATGTAATAAATGTAATGTATCGTATTTTATTCCAAAAATTATATAAAAATAAAAGAGTTAAGTAATATTTATAACGTAGGAAATTTAAGAATAGGGATGGCGACTAATTTTTGTTCGTTTCGTTCAGGTATATTAAACAAGTATTTTTTATTTTTTTTTATTTTTTGCATACTCAATAAATTACAGCGATATATTGAGTTGAAATCTGGCATGACGTCACGCTTGAGTAGATTTTCTACAAAATTTTGACGTAGCGAGCCCCCACCCCTCAACGTATCTAATATTTTTCTATTATGTAACGGACTCAATAGTTTTTTTTTTTAACTCCAACGGTATCCCTATTATATTTTATCGATTATACATTTGAATATACATACATATAATAATTATATATGATAACATTAATATTTGTTAATTTTTTGGTCAATTAGCTTCCTTGATTCTTAGTATCTTGGTCAATTTACATCAATTTTAATGTATTGGACCATATCTATATTAATGAAACTCGATAACAATCATTTTTTCTATGGATATTGATTATAATAAAATAATATTGAAGGACAATGTACACAACAACACAGGTTATATAATGGACAACGAGCTTCTAAGTGCCCATTTCCAATGTTTCCTGATGTATATAATATCTTATACTATGACTTTATTTCATTTTGAAATTAATATCAGTTTGTCTTTGTTAATATTTAGATGATCTATAATTTTGTACTGAAATACATATTTAAAAAAGAAAACTCAATGACCTTGGCTCAAAGTCCGATAAATGCTCAGACGTTTGATCCAAAAAGAAAGTTTCTCGAAAGCTGACGAGATCGTATGAATTGTAACCTCGTTTCTGTCGTAAAAAACGAATCATTCTTTTATTGGAGCCACATTGGAACATTATTCCATTCTAAAATCTTTACTGACGACGAACATAAGAAAAAGCTTACTTAATCAAGAATAATAGATGAGATGAGTACCAACCAATAAAATTATCGTAGGTATGTCATTAAGAAGAGAAATGTTTTGATTCAAAAAAGAGAAATGTATTGTTAGATATCTATGAAAAAAGACTATTGACACCACTTTATTGTGTTATAGCTCATATTTTATGTAAATAGAGAGCAGAGTTCTGTATCAAAGACAAATGAATTGTAAAAAAAAGGAGCGATTGTTAAATACAAACTCTTTAAATCGAACTAATATCACCGAGAAATAAGTATAACGCGGGAATATTATCATAAAGTACCTATTCTCATATCTCTTAAACGATCGGTATCCTAATTAATTTTCCAAGACCTATTGGAAACGTTGCAACCATATTATAAAATTGTACTGTTCTGTTATTTGCTTTTCTAAAATACATATATCAAAAATTACAGTAAAAGCTTTTCCAAGCCAGTCACAAATAGCCAAGCCATAATCGATACCGATTATTCGTATCGCCAAGTTGTTTTCTTTTTTTGTTAAGGCTAGCTGAACTACAAAATATATTGCATTCATTTACGGCCGGTTTCTGAATTGAGAAAAGTAGAAAATCTTAACTGATTATCCTCAATAACTCCTCACTAACCAAGTTTGCACAACAAAAAGTCCTAGTTTTAACAATCTGCTATCAACTGTTCATTAAAAAACTAAAAAATCAGAAACGAAAAGCTGTTTAAATGACGTTTAGTAAGGTTTGAGACGTGCTTAACTTCAAATGCTCAATTCAGAAACCGGGTGATAATCCAATATCATATCGTATAGCATTACAGATGATCAAATATCTCGTTAATATAAATTCAACTGAGTAGTAAAATAAATGCAAGATTAAAACTTTTATGTATTTTTTGAGTGGTTATTACATTTTAAGCCGTTTACGAAAATAATAGCTTTTTCACTTAATATGTCATGTGGTTTACATTATGCATGGTACTGTCGATTATCGTAAGAATTACAAATTACAAAAACATAAAGTCATGTTCATGGCGTAATGATTTACGAGGCAACATTAAACTAAGCGTAGGTGAAAAATTGACTTTTAACAACTTTGTACTTACACGACATGAAAGGGGCCATGAATTTTTATAAATTGCTACTATTAAATATTAGCACTTTAAATGTGAAAATGTGTTTGATTTTTTGTCCTTAAATGACATAGAAACAAGGGATTTTAAGCAAAATCCTCTCCATAAACAACATAAATCTTTTCGCTTTATCTTACCCAAAGAAAGTTACATAAAATTGGACTGCACCAATGAATCGTCATGAAATCAATCAATCAAATTATGAGGCCGTATGTTACGATTACTGCAAACTTAGAACTGTCAAAGACATGAAGCTTACCAAGTCATCTATACAAAACAGTTTATACTAAAACAGATAAAATATTAGCTTTTTAGTATTAACTCTCACGTTCCATCAACGCATTTTTATGGCTTTTGCGTGACAATGGTTGGTTGAAAAGTGGTACCGGGTACTATCATCACCAGCCCTTTTACGTCCTCACTGCAGGGGCTCAGGCGTTCCTTATGGATGGTTAAGGAGGATGGGCCATGACCCTCCACGATGGCCCAATGCGGATCGATCGCGGGCCGCGGCGCTTATCCACTACGCCACCGAGCTACTCCGGGTACTACAAAGCGAAAAAATGTCATTCCCCTGCGAAGATCCATTATGTTGCGCATTATGATACTTCTTCTTCTGCCTCGCCTTTTCCCGTTAAGCAGGGTCGGCTTTCTTACTCCTGGGGCCCTACTCATTTCGCTGCAGTGTCGTCTTCTGGTAGGTCATACTCCTTCATCTTTCTTTATCTTCCCCTACCCCTTCCTCTTTTTTGCGTTGCAATGGAAAGACACTTTTTTACCAATTGTCAAGTCAATTGTCAATTGTCTAGTCTCGGCAAGTTTCTCGATATTAGGAGCAATCTTAAAAGTTCCCCGTGTGAATTCATTACGTACCTTATTTTTTAATGTAACTCCAGCCGCCCAGTGTGGCATGCGCTTTTCATTGATGTGCACTTTTTGTTCATTGATTTTCCTGATAATGTCATACACAATTCGTAATTTTATCCATTTGACATTGAAATTGCGTGAATCGTAACACAATTGCAATGATATACTATAAAATATATTGTGCCTACATGACGCTCATTATGTAGTCAAACCCTTAGATCATTAATATGTCTGTCACAGCTGTTTCTACTTAGCAAACGAATAAAACATAAATGACCTTTACAATTCAATTATGTACCACCATAGCATGTTGTAATTCTATTATTTATGATGATTACATTGTATTGATTGTTTGAGGTTCACTTTTCAAAGATATTATTTTGTAATTTAATTTATATTTTAAGGTTGACAAAAGTCAATTAATATGCACAGGAGATATGTACATGTTCACGATACGATATCGCGTCGTACTACGCACATGAAATGTAAACGACGCGTCGTGAAAATCAAGCAATGTAATAATTCAGGACACGACTACGAAAAGATTTTATTGGGACGATTCTCGTCTAGTATCATAAAAAGATCAATATTATCTTTGAATCTTATTGGATAATATTTGCGGCACCGTTTAAGGAGGATCGACGATACGACGTCGCGTCGTGCGTGGCACATCGCGATGTCGTGTCATGATTTTTATGTTCCACTTTCCGGTTCCATTCCGTTCGTTGTAGATTTCTATATATGAGGTCGCGTTGTTATACGATACCCACGTAATATACAATACGACGTCACATCGGGTTTATGTGTACGATCCTTTATCTTTGCATATTATAATATGAATAGAATAGAATAGAATCCATTTATTTTGACAACACACATCACGTACACAATTTACAACTTAAAAAAATAATGATAATAATAATA